GGGTCCGATAAGTATTTATAAAAATAGGATTATATTAACTTGCTCTAAAATATCTAACGGTGCCTGCGACATCGGCTTCTATCGAACGCATTTTCTCGCAAAGTGGTTTTCTGATGAGACCACATCGAGCATCATTAACGGCAAAGAATGTGTGTCTACTAACTTTTCTAAAATGTAATAAAGTTTTACTTTGATTCCATCTACTTGAAAGTTGATAATACAATAAATAAAAAAATGTTTTAACATTTCGCTCGGTATGTTCTACAAAGGCTCGGTACTCGACTCGTACTCGAAGCCTTGGTACTCGTATTCGACTCATACTCGAAGGCTCGGTACTCGTACTCGACTCGTACTTGAAAAATCCCGTTCTTGCCCAGCTCTGAATCACGGCGCGAGTTAAAAAAATTCAGTGCTGTTGCGATGGAGACACAAGACCTTTTAGCGATCGCGCCGCGACACAGCAAGTCTTTTGAAGAAAAGCTTGTTGCTCGTGGCGCGACTAAGCAGAGTACATCTGTTGAAATTCGCGATCACAAGAGCCGCGTCGCGACGTCGCGAACTCACCACAACTCTTAAAAATTCTTATTCTCTCTAGATAAGAATTTCTCAAGATCCCACCGAGACTTTGCGACTCAATATCGATCGCACCGCCACATAGCGAAAGTATCACGCCGTGACTCTCAGAAAAAAATTTTCAATAAATTAAGACTTTCTTAAGATCTTGTCGCGAGAGCTTGACTTTATAGCGATCCCGTCGCGAGTGATGGGAATGCATGGCGATCGCTTCGCGAATGTAGCATGATAGTTGACCTGGGATGCTTGAAAACATCACTCTTCAGTTGTAATATCCAAAAAGTGAGTGTTCGCACTTTCAACTAAAAAAGAGTTACCCACCGTTTTGTAGAGTTTTGAAAGAGAGCCTTCTTTTGATATATAATGTAGATCGCAACCTGGGTTCTTTCACGATGAAAAAGCTGAAATACTATCGTTGGCTATGCTGAAAAGGTCATTTTTAACAGTACTATGGCAAAAATGTGGGTGTTCGCGGTGTACATAACAATTGAGCAATAACAGTTTTGTTCGGCGTTTAAAGCGACATCGAATGGTATATAACACTTTCCTTCAAACTTGTTATGTTCTGAGAAAATTACGAAAAACGCCTCGTAATGGGCTCGCGGAGCTATTGTACAAAGTTGATCGATTTTCTAACAAGATATGAGGTCTGAACGGGAACCAAGGGTGTAGAACCGCATAAAATTGTATGCTCTTTCATTCTAGATACCTTTTGAGAAGATCTGAAATGGGGCCGATCCTCGTTCTTATTGCACCCCGTCCTTTGTATTTATTCTAATTTTCAATTCTACGTTCGTTGAAACTTTAAATATGCGACTGTGTCGCTTATGGTCGGACATTTGACAACCCTGATTGTTTACAGCGAACATCAAGGCGGACATTTGGTGAAAAATTGAATGTGACTTTTCATGATTCAAATAGTGTCACATATACTTCGATCTACGGGCTGTCAAATAACGTAAACATTTTTGTTCCAATTGCTCAGTTTTGGGGAAAATGTGTGAGCAGAAGATAACCTAAATAATAGCAACCTCGAAGAAAACACATTTTTGTTTATTTCATCAAGGAGAATTATATTTGTAAACAGTATCTATTCCGAATATGGACACACTCAGCTATCTATTAATGAACGGATTTCCACTTTGGTTCTACGATCTAGGAGGAAAAAATTAAATTTTCTAACCAATCCTTATGGATGTTTAGAATGTAATGAGATCGCGCAAATTAGCGCAGGTTGGACCTGATTCAAAACTACTAGAGTAAACTGGGGCAATTGGAAATGATTTTATGCTCTTTGGATTTCTAATTAGTATAACTTTGTAAATTTTAATTATTTTTTTGAGATTTTTCTACAGGTAGGTAGAGGAGGAAGTTCTCTACAAGATAAAAATAATTCATTAGTAAAAAACAGTTTTTTCGTTAAGCTAATCATACTAATTAATGATTTTTGCACGGGTGAATAGACCAATTATTGCTCTACAAATGGAGAGAATCTCCAAGCTCTACTCATTAATTAACCTGAGCTCTAATTAAAAAGCTAAACACTAAGGAATTTTCAAATGTTTCCGATTACCCCATTTGGGGCAATTGGAAACGTACGTAAAAGTTAGTGGGTAAATGGAAACGACCATGTAAAATAGCTGGAAAGCTAGGAGTTTCTTGGAATTCAGTTTCTACTCGAAGAACACCTCTCACAAAAAAAGTTACGCTTATAAAAAGAAGCAGAATATTCTTCTCTATAATCCCAGAGAAACTCTCACTCGTTTTCATTCAGAACTAACGAAATAACATGTTACACGAGAAAGGTGGTAGGCTATCTCGAGAATCACTGAACGAAACTTTATGAAACTGGCGCTTAAGGGTTTGTCAACGACCCCTTACTTTTCTTCTCTAGAAAGTTTTCTCTAAAACTCTCAAAAGTGGGGGTTTTCAGAAAACCATGGTTTTTGGGCTACTCGTACTTCTTAAAACGATTTTTAAAAATCAGTCTTAAGACATGAAACATTTTTAATGATATATTTGAATTCAGCGTCGAAAGACGAACATTTTGAGAAAAAAAAATCAAGTCTTCAAATCAAAATTTCAGCTTTTGAGTTTAGTCTGATATTTAAAAAGTTCAACCTTTTTTAAAATTGAAATAGCTCAGTTCAGGTAAGCGATGAAACCTTGGTTCAAACGCGGTTGGATAGAGAATTAAAATTTGAACAAACGTAGTGATTTGGCGAGATTCCAGTATTACGTCATCATGGTTCTTTAGGGGATCTCTAGAAAGTCTCTTTCTAATTTCACTTTATTTTCTCTGTTCTTTAAATTTAAACTTTAACACTGAACTTTTTCGATTTTGTTGACAATCCAAATAAGATATTCAGCACTAGCGATACTAGTGGACGCTATATGAACGATTGTGGATGTGTCCTTTTTCCTTCCACAATACGTAGAATGTGCCCTTTTTCAGCATGCAAACAAAAAAAAATTTATATATTAAGTTTCTGGTGAACCATTGAGTTCTTCATATGACTGTCAGCAGCGCCTCCACAAATTAGATGAAGTTTGTCTTTAATATATTTTTCAATGTCTGCAAAGTCACCTAGGTAAAGGAAAAACTGTTTTTTACTAATGAATTATTTCCCATGTAAAATACATGGCGTATCCACTTTCCCCATCAATTTCTATTGTTGTTTCCAATTGCCCCAAGTGGGGTAATTGGAAATGTTCGTTAAAGCTTTTAGCAAAACAACGGGAAGTTCACTTGGGACACAGAGTTTTTGAAAATTTTTAGATAGCCTTGTAGAGAACTTCCTCCTCTACCTACCTGTAGAAAAATCTCAAAAAAATAATTAAAATTTACAAAGTTATACTAATTAGAAATCCAAAGAGCATAAAATCATTTCCAATTGCCCCAGTTTACTCTATAGCCATGAAAAGAGTTTTTTCTTATTCTTTCTCGCTTTCTTCGAACATACTGCACATGTTTTCTCTGCTTTTTGTATTCAAATAATATGTTTGTCGCCTAAAAAGATTCGTAGTTTTATTGTTAATTATTGTTTTGCTTGTCCTCTTGTTATATAGGCGCAGTCAGGTAAGGGTAGATACGACAAAAAACTGATTTTGAATGCAGAAAGCAAAGAACACACACGCAGTATGTTCGAAGAAAGCAAGAAAAGATAGAAACAAAACCTTTTTCATGACTACAGTAATTTTCTGCAATTATTTGTAAAGAGACGCATGTTTTTAACAACATTTCTACTTATTATCGCCTTAATATTTTTTACCTACTACTATCTGAAATGCAAATATTTTACACTCAAAGGTCCAGTACCTGGTCTTCAACCTCAATTTTTCTTTGGTAATTTATTGCAAACTGGTATTCTGTCCGGTAAACCCCTTTTCCAAGTATGGTCGGCATTTCAACAGAAGTACGGCGATGTGTTTCAATGGTATTTCGGACAACAACGAGTTCTTCTATTCAATCGTATAGAGCATGCACAATATATTCTGGGTAATCGTCAGTTATATGATTTGTCGGTCTTGACCGAAAAAACGTTCGGTCTCTTATTTCCGCGCAGCCTATTAGCAATAAAGGGTTCTATGTGGAAGCGACATGCTCGTGTTATGTTGCCGATGTTGAAAAAAGCTAAAATTGTACCCTATTTACAAACAATTGTAGATTGTATTGATAATTTAATTCAGAAATGGCGCGATGAATCACAAAATCACTTGTATACAAACATAGTAAATGACGCACAAGACTCTCTGCTAAATGTAATCGGCATAATCGCTTTTGATTATGATCTAAAAAATTCAACAATGGTGCATGCGTTTAACGATGTAATAAGCGTTAGTACCACTTTAATCTTACTTGGTGGTCTACCTGAGTTCATGGGCCGTCTCTATTTAAGATTCAATTCGAAATATCAGAGGGGCCTTCAACTCCTCAGGCAACATATTAATGATATAATCAAACAAGAACAACAACGAATCAAGAATAATGGAACTGAGAATAGACGAAAAAATCTTGTATCGCTACTTGTGTCATCGTTAGTCGAGGATAACGAAATTTTAAATGATGACAGTAAACAGGGTTTGACACGTGATGAACTATTCGACGAAGTTTTTCTATCCGTATTGGGTGGATTTGAAACATCGGCAACAACAATTTCATGGTTCATTTACTATATGAGTAAATATCCTGACATACAACAAAGAATAAAACAAGAATTGAGATCGAAAAATATCACTCAATACACAGTTTTAACATCGGAGCTAGTGGATGAATTAGTTTATGTTGACTGTGTCATGAAAGAATTATTTCGTTTCGCCCCAGTCCAACCAGGAGTAGGTCGAAGTGCTCAAGAAGACGATGAAATTGATGGTATTAAAATAAAACGAGGCGATGTTGTTCTTATAGGAACACATAATATACACCACGATAAGCGTGTATGGTCATTGGACCCAGACAAATTCATACCAGAGAGATTTCTACAAGAAGATAAAACATATCCTCCATATGCCATGCTTCTGTTTGGTGCTGGACATCGGGCGTGCGCTGGACAGGACCTTGCACGTTTTGAACTGAAATTAATAATAGTGCGTTTAATGCAATTTGTGACATTTATCGACGGTGGTAAGGACAATTCGGGAGGATATCTTCAGCGTATCACCGTTATTCCAAAACATTTGGCCGTTTATATGAAGTTTGATACGACATAAACGATTATCCCGCGAATCCCATGTTGATAAAACAATCTTTCTTCATCTCTCATCAATAAAATCAGAGTTAAGTATTTTCCGATTCGATATTTTAAAATTATTCCATAAGTTCATTTTTTATCTGATTAAACTAAAACGTAGAAAAACATTCTAAAACTGCGAACAAATGACTTGAAAAATAGTTTTTTCTCTTGTTGATCACGCTTCCAGACAGTGTTTTTTCTCTACGATGTGAATGAATCAGTGGATGTAATCACTTTTCTTGCTTTCCATGGTTTACTGTTTGTTCATATTGAGAATGATTCCAGTGTTTCCTACATGTCTCGGCTTCGGCCATCTTGCGTTTATGTATCCAACTCTATTTATTTATATCCTTGTGTGTCTGCACAGTTAGTTTTGGTTTAAACTGGGTTTATTAAAACAACAAATTGAGGTATGCTCGCTCATTACATGTTGTGACAATCTGATCAAAAAAGAAATGCAGTTAAAGTGCTAAAAAAGAGACGAGAAAAAAGCTGATAATATATTAGAGAACGAACAGCAAACTATTCTAAAACAAGGAAGAGTAAGTTCTAAGGACTTTATTATCATATTAGAATGTTTTCAACGGATCTCTGTCAATTTCAACCGGAGCGTGTCTACTTAGGCATGCACCAGTTACAGTTTTTGGACGGTTAACTGTAACGGTTATAACTGTAACTGTTATAACTGTCATAACTGTAAAACTGTAACTGTCATAACTGTAAAACTGTAACTGTCATAACTGTATAACTGTTATAACTGTAAAACTATAACTATCATAATTGTTCCGAAGATAGTTCAGAATGAGTTATCGTTGTACTATTAGCATAGGTTTCAGAGTAAGACAAAAAA